TGCAGCTCCTGTGGACCAACCCCCGAAAGAGAAAATATATTCTTGAGAGTCTCTAGGCATAGCAAAACTAGGAGTTCTCACTGTAGTTGTACAATTCTCAAGATTTGCAACCAGTTCCTCATAACCATCAATAATGTCCATTAGCCCTGTCTTCTCAATAAAGGGATGCAGAGCAACCTCTCTCCTGAAGAATTGGATATCCATCCTTCCAAACCGGGCTGTTAAGAGAAGGGCGAGTGAAGGCTCTGTATTATTAGCCCTGTTCCAACTTAAGATAAATTTCCACACATCTTCTTCTGTGCACCTTAATCCATGGTCGGAAAGTATTTCTATTAGATCAGCTTCAGGAAGATTTAAGATTCCTGATTTCGATGATTCTTTTACTAGACTGAAATTGTTCAGTATAAAATTCAGGGCTGAAGCTTTCAAATTTATGAAAAAGTAATCCAGTGCAAACATGTAGAGCTCCACAACGTTCTCTGGATTCAAGATTTTCTCCATGAATAATTCACATTCTTCAACAATTGTGCTGATCCCGAGGAAATCAGCAACTTTAATCATATCTTTCACATTCTTATCGTTGATCTCGCCTTCACCGTACATCGCTCGAGCTAAAACTGGATACAGCTCATCTTTTTTCATATTTAAATATATTGTTGAAGTTTGTTGACGTTCTAATTTCTTTTCTTTCTTGAACGGTCCATTTAACAGAACATCAAAGAATGGTGAACTATAAACTAGCATTAGTCTGGTTGCTAGGAACGATTGGTTATCATTTGTATAGATTAGTATGTCACTTGTATCTTGAGAACTTCTAGTCGAAGACATAAATTCAAGCAGCCTATCCTCTGACATTTTTGATTCAAATAAATTTGAATATTGCGAAATTTGCAAAGGCCTTTTTGCGCATTTTCTTTGTGAACTTTTAATTTTAACAAAAGAATTAAATGTTTAATATTTGTAGTTGGACCAAAGCACAAACCAGTTGGTGTTGAACGAGGTTGTTATAGATCGAGGACCATCTCCTTATCACATCGGTTCAGGTTTATTCATTTTTCGTTACTAAAAAAATCTATTTTGAAATTAATTGAAAAATTTGTGGTCTCTAGTTAAAATCCTATTTCCGGCTAAACATTTGAAAGACAATCTTCATCTTGGGACTATTTTAAGATATGAGCTAATTAAGGTTTTAAGATTTAATGTGTCTTTAATTATCAATGTGAACTGAAATTTTTATTGACATTAATATCAGATACTATACAACTTTAAGTTTTCAACACTTTGAAAGCCTACTTTTTATTATGCTAAAAAACCTTATCTTTAATGTGGCTTAAAATTATAGCAGAGTTGATTCTAAACTCTTATTTTTTTCAGGGTGATGGTTTGATTGTCTCTACCCCCTACTGGAAGTACAGCCTATGCTGTTGCTGCTGGAGCAAGTATGATACATCCCGCTGTCCCAGCAGTCATGGTTACTCCTATCTGTCCTCACTCTCTCTCATTCTGTCCTATCGTGGTTCCTGCCGGGGTAGAGCTCAAGATCTCCGTAAGCCCCGACAGCAGGAACACGGCGTGGGTCTCCTTCGACGGGAGGAAGCGACAGGAACTGTGTCATGGTGACAGCTTTAGGGTTAACATCAGTATCCATCCGATTCCATCGATCTGCTCACAGGTATGAAAATGTTTTAATAAATATATGAGTCGATCTGATCTATAATGCATTTTGTTCAATAAACTTCACTAAATGTCTTAGTTGGAAATATCAAAGGTTTATACCATCAGGTTTCAAAGATATTTTCAAAGAAATATGGGATTGGAAAATTTTAGTTTTTGACAAAAACTCAGTTTCTTTGGAGTTTTAAATTCAAGCTATAGATTTTTGTGTATCTTGAACAAATTCTATAAAAATATTTTTTTTCTTATGTTGAAAACATATATATGTTTATATATATATACTTTTGCCATCATATATATAGTTCTATATATATTCAGTGAAATCCTTAATAACGAATACATCAGAAGAATTTATCAAATGTCGTCTTGACAATTTTCCAATGAGTTTTATACTATATTACGTAAATTTCAATATTTGCGAAAATAAATAAATAGCCATGAATATGCGGGAACAGTTTTAAAGAGTTCCATATAATCATTTAATTAAAAGACTAAATATCTGCAACATTCCATTATCAGAAAGTGAAGAATACGACATTTGATGAATTCTTTCGATGTATTCGTTATTAAGGGTTTCACTGTAGATTATTCTTATTATTTCAATATTATATAGTATCATTACTATCAATTTTATGGCCAGCATTATAATCAAACATGCCTATTTAGAAACAAAATATTTTAGATTTTATATGATTTATGAACATTATTAACTAGAAATAAAAGGAATGATTTTGCTAAATACTCATACATTTAATTTTATTTCTTGCTTTGCATCCTAGATTGGATTAAAATGCATAAGTTGCATTTGGTGGATTTGGGTATTTTTGTTGTGTGAGTTTGTATATGTGTGCATGCAAGTTTTCAAAGAATGCCAAATTTTTCAGTTAGTTGAAATTGAGCAATTTTGCACACTTGGGGTGCTGGAAAATTTATTTTTCATGTTTAAATTTTATTAAATTTGTTCTCAATCAGAATGACAATACTATACTCTATAAGATTTATATTTCATGGAAGTCCGCAGTTTACGCAATCTTAACACTTTTTTCCTCAGGGACGGATTCTGCAATCTAGCTCCGGGGTTGTTAAAGGACTCGGGAGTCAGGTGCAGTTCAAACCTTAAACTTCTCCGGGTAGCAGGATACATAGGATACATAGGATACTCAGGATACTCAGGATACTCAGGATACTCAGGATACTCAGAAAACTCAGGAAACCCAGAAAACACTTTACAATCAATTTCAAAAAATTATGAAAATAGATAAAGTCACAGTTTTCCTGAAATCTAAAGGCGAACTAACACAGGTTTTATTACGTTGAATCTAGTGTCAATTGTTTTTTGAAGAAAGCATAATTTAGCTTTTTGCAGACATTGTTTTCAAATGAAGTTTAATTTTTTGAAACAACGCAATCAAGTTTATTGCTTTGTTACTGTAGATAAACAAGCCATAAATTGTGTTCATATTGTTAACAATTATCATGTTCTTAAAGAGACTGTACAGGAAAAATTAAAGGGGGTATAGACTGAAACATAAGTATCTTAGGAGTTGATCAAGACCCATGAGAGTTCTATGTGATGTTCCTGTCTTGAGAAATTGAAATAAAACTGCGTCAAATTTATACAAAAATCGGTATATACCAAATTTTAGAAATAGTAGGTTTAAAGAGATCATATTCAGAAAATACGCGACAAATTTAAAAACGATGCATCCCAGAGGAGCCTAAGTAACTTAGGTTTGGTCCCATTATTATTTGAATTTCATAATTTTTCATTTTAAATAGATTTGATAATTATTGTACATAATTATACGTATAATTGTTAATACGTCCGTATCACGTGACCAGAACTCCTACCAATGGCAGTGCAGTATACTGGTCACGTGATACAGACGTAGACACGTAACAATAATAGATAACATCAGATAGAACTCGCAAGGGTTTTGTTCACCTTCGTAGGTACTTTGGTTTCAGCCTTTACCCCTTGAATTTTTTCCTTTATACAGTCCCTTTAACAATGTTAATATTGCCAACAATGTTAATGTTGTCAACAATGTTCATGTTGTTAACAATGTTCATATTGTTAACAATGTTCATATTGTTAACGATGTTCAGATTGTTATCAATGTTCATACTCTTAGCAAAGTTTATGTTGTTAACAATGTTCATGTTGTTAACAATGTTTATGTTGTTAACAATGTTCATGTTGTTAACAATGTACATGTTGTCAACAATGTTCATGTTGTTAAAAATGTTCATGTTGTTAATGATGTTCATGTTGTAAACAATGTTCATATTGTAAACAATGTACATATTGCTAACACTGTTCATGTTGTTAACAATCTTCATATTGTTAACAATGTTCATATTGTTAACAATGTTCATGTTGTTAACAATTTTTATATTGTAAACAATGTTCATTTGTTAATGATGATCATGTTGTAAACAATGTTCATGTTGTTAAAAATGTTCATATTGTTTGCAATGTTCATGTTGTTAAAAATGTTCATGTTGTTAACAATCTTCATATTGTTAACAATGTTAATACTGTTAACAATGTTCATATTGTTAACAAATGATGTTCATGTTGTTAACAATTTTCATATTGTAAACAATGTTCATTGTTCATATTGTAAACAATGTTCATGTTGTTAATGATTTTCATGTTGTTAACAATGTTCATGTTATTGGAATAATGTTAAATATTGTTTGCAATGTTCATGTTGTTAACAATGTTCATATTTTTAACATTATTCATGTTAACATGAACAATGTTAAATATTGTTTGCAATGTTCATGTCAGAAATGTTCATATTGTTAAATTTTTTAATGCTGTTAACAGTGCTCATGTTGTTAACAATGGTCGTGCTGTTATCAATGTTTGTGCTGTTAACAATGTTCATGTTGTTAACAATGTTCATGTTGTTAACAATGTTCATGTTGTTTATAATGTTCATGTTGTTAACAATGTTCAAAATTGTTTGCAATGTTCGGTTTGTTAATAATGTTCATGTCAGAAATGTTCATATTGTAGAAAATTTCAATATTGTTAGCCATATTCATGTTGTTAGAAATATGTTCATGTTGACATTGTTAAAAATATTAATTTTGTTAACAATGTTTATATTGTTAACAATGTACATTGCTCAATATTCACGTTGCTGACATTTTTCATGTTTTTTAGATTTTTAGATTTTCAAATGTTTATTCTCTTCTTATTACTATAAATGTGTAGATAATAGAATGTTAAGACACCTGTCTGTTAAGGTTTATTTCTATTTTGAGAGTGTTTGTCTAAAAAAGGCCAAGTTCTCCATGCATAGAGCCTAGATTGTAGATACGTAGATCTGTCAGGGTTATTTTACATTTATGATATAACACAATATAGAATTTAGGGAAGGTTACAGGAATCCAAAACCAAGGGTTTTTCATTTTTAATTTTTAGCCGCTTTTATACTTGTCATCTTAGAATACATTGGTAGGCAATTACATCAGTATAATGAAGACGACTTTCGAGTTAAATTTTTATGTATATCAAGCTATTTAACAACATGGTTATACATAAACATAGAAGTCAAGAGAATCTGTCAATTAATAAAGCTTCTTTTTGATTACTTGTAAACTTGTAATTCAAAAAACCGCTTGTTAACAATCAAAAATTAAATAAAAAAGTCGTCTTCATTGTATTGATATAATCGCCTACCATTGTAGAATCCCTGAAGAATTCCCGGGGGGAAATATTTCTGTGAAGGGACTGTCTGCATAATTTCAAGTGACCTTTATCTGCTAGAACTCGTAGAGCTTAAACTTATGTTTTGGTCTAAATAGGATTTTTGACAAGCCAGCTGGGAGCCATGATGATGCGGAAGTTGCCGATCATAGCATTTTTATCGTAATGTAATGTTTAAGCCAACTTTTTCCTATTGCCTCCTTCCTGTTCCAGAGTTTTTAGGTTCTCAATTGTTCGCCTTCATAGTGAAAGGACGAATAGGACTGCCCAAGTCGTTAAAATTGCTGATATTCCTTAATAAAATTTCTTTATAAGGTTGCAAACCATACGACCATAAATTAACTAAATTAACAGATAGGACACTAGTGTCCGAATTTAATGAATTTAAGCCGCGGCCTAAATCTGATAAAAATTGGTTTCAATTGAGCGCCGGCTTAAATCTTGAAAAATGGCATACAATTTAAAGTGGAATTAACCATTTTGAGCCGCGACTCAAATTCTTTAAATTCGGCCTCAGGTGTCGTCTTTTCAAGGTTTCAATGAAACTCGTTCACAATAACCCTAAGGCAGAAGCCCAAAGGTGTTTCGCGCAGTCGGCGTAGGATTACAAGACAGAGCCATAACAATATAATAAAATGTCGATTTTCTAGAAACATGTTTTTTTCTGCTAGTTTTGTTTGAAGGAGAAATAAAGTGAATAAAGTAGTTCTTGCTAGGTAATTAGACTGTACAGGGTGTCCCAATAAACATGGGAATTCAGTGACGAATTCGATATCGTCTTTTTAACTAATTCTTTGATTTAGTTTAGTGATACCTACGGAGAAAGTTGTAATCTGTAAGAGTTTCGTCTGCTATGTTCACATTTTGCTTGTTTATGTTTTGACTGCATACGGTTGTACTTAGTAAAACAAGAAAATTACTGTATACGAACAGAGTAAACTTGTCCGTCTTCACTGTTCATCTTGCAGAGACATTATAGACACATCTTTACAGTCTTACCCTTTCCATAAAATAAACTCTAGCTGACACAATAATATTATGGGTTTTGAAATTAGGTATTACAATGCTAATTCATAACAAAGACGATATTCAATTCGTCACTAAATTCCCATGTTTTTTTGGGACACCCTGTAATTGTACCTATAAAGTATCATTATACTTGTGTCTGATATCCAAGGAGCCAAATGTTTTGAATTTACTGTTTATATTTTGGCTTCCCCTCCCCTTGGCGTTTATAGATTTATTTCTGTATACGCCCTTGGGTAGCGTATTATGAGTGTAGCGTTTTATCTATAAAGCGTTTTATGAGTAGCGTTTTTCAAGGTACACCCTGTAGTTCTCTCTTCCTGATTATGGTTAGTGGTTACTCCCTGGTTATTTTAACTCTTTTTTGTTTAAATAAACCTTTTTCCTGTTCCTGCATATTACGCCTTTTTCTTTTTTTTTAGTTTTTATTGACTATAAGTTCTCTCCTTTTTTATATTTGTTATTTTTTCTCTTCTTGTTGCTGTTTAATCTTATAGGCGTTTGTCTTATTTCTTTGTATTTTTTCTTTCATTCAGTTTTTATTGACTATTAGTTCTCTCCATTTTTTATATTTTTTATTTTTTTTCTTCTTGTTTCTGTTTAATCTTAGGCGTTTTTCTTATTTCTTTGTATTTTTTCTTTCATTCAGTTTTTATTGACTATTAGTTCTCTCCATTTTTTATATTTGTTATTTTTTCTCTTCTTGTTTCTGTTTAATCTTAGGCGTTTTTCTTATTTCTTTGTATTTTTTTCTTTCTGCTTTTTTAGCCAATTTTTCTTTCTCTTTATCTCTGGCTGATATAGTTTTTTGTTGTTGTTGGGTTTTTAATTATTTCTAGTCTTTCATTTTTTACCTCTTCCTGGTTCTGTACTTGATTTTTTGTTCTTGTTTTTAATTTTAATATCTTTTTGTTTCCGTTTTCTTATTTTCGTTTCCTGTTTTCCTGTTTTCAAATGCAAAAAATATTTCTTGATTTTTGTAACTGAGACGTACCTGAGCTAATATTAATGGCCAACTATACAGCTAGCTTATACTCCGGTCAGACTGTGCCGGGGTCAGTATTTTCCCAAGGATTCAAGAAATAAAGTAAACTCTAAAATTAAAACGAATTTTTTTACAACCTTCAATTAAAATCACATTTTTGTTCATTTCCGGCTCGAATGTGTACTTCAGTACTAACATAATTTGACCGTGATAAATAAAAATATTGTCAGTTAGTGATGTATAGAGTTTTATCTGTGAAAGACACTTTAGCTAGTGCTGTTAAAGGATCTAGATATATTGAATATTACTTCTATATACAGGGTTACCCACAAAGGATGAGACTGCAAAGACGACCCAAAACTCTTAAAATATGACAATTTAAAGCTTTTTTTTGTTTTCTGCCTTTAATTTAATATTTTAATGGTGTGCTAAATAATTAAGCACATAAATAAGCAAGTTTTTTTCCTGCAAGGAACCCTGAATGTAATAAAAGGGAATAAACAAATTCCGTACGATCTTCTCTGAAGTCTCGTCTTAAATATTACTTTAATATACATTTACTAAGTACTTATAAGCTGAACTACAGAAAGTTTCCATGATAATTACTACATAATGATGAATTAAAGAATTTTCTCACGGCACAAAACTGAATTAAACTTAAGACACTTAATCTAATTGTTTTTGCTAAGAGAGAAACAATTGTCCACAGCTGCAGAAAATCTCGAAGATGCGATTTTTCGTTTCGTGCATTTTCCGATGTTTGAACTGTTGTGTGCAGAGTATTGTTAATTTTTAACTCTTGATCTTGATATCAAATGTGGGATCTTTTAGATTTGAGGATAAATGCTTGAAATTCCTCAATTTAAATTATCCCTACAGGGTATGACCACCTGTGGATATCAAAGATGAATTATATTAATTTATCCGTATATCTGCATTCACAACACAAAAGTTCTGTCCTCTGAATCCTTACGTTTAAAAATATATATATAGGGAGCAGGGTAAGGAGGCAGTGCCCCCCCCCCCCCTAGAACTCAGAGCTAAAACACTTTTCAAATCTGAAACTGAAGGGGGAAGAGCATAAAAAAATTAGTTTGCTGTTTTTTCTGCTAGTTTTGTTTGAAGGAGAGATGAAAGTAGTACTTGCAAGGTAATTGGACTGTATGTGTACCTTTAAAGTATCCAAGAAGCCAAATTTTTTGAGTTTACAGTTCAAATTTTGCAAAAAAGAAATTTGTGCGTTCGCCCTTTGAGCGGGGGATGGCAGGCGGCTATAAGCTACAACATTTTCCCCTTGTCTTCCGGCAGCTATGAGCCACAACCGATACGGTTTGCCATGGCACAGCATTTGAGTCTTCCTGCAGTTATTACGTTTTTAAATAATAAATTTAATGCATTGAAATTGTTATTTTCAAAAATCCAGCGACGTCATGCACTGTCAAAATATGTCTATACTCTGCATAACGCGGGTGCTATCTTTACTCTCTGTAAAGTAAGTTTTACAGAATCTACCAAGAATAACGTATGTTCTATATACATAAATATGCTTAATGTTGCATCTACTTACTCATCTCTACGCTCCGTTAATTTTCTTTATGCGTGCATCTACTCTGCACTCGTATTCTCTATTCTAAATCTTCTCTGCATCTCTACTTATCTTTACTTTGCATACATTTATCTTTTCCATTCATATATTCTCCTCTACTCAGCACTACATCCTGTATTCTCAACATCCGGTTTTTCCTACTCGGCAATTTGCTTTCTGTATTCTGTATACCCTACTAACCCGAAACCCTAAATACTTAAGCCTCTATATAGGTATACATATTTTTTGTTATATTTACGTAAAAATTGGTATGCTCTACATTTTGGTAAAAAACTTGCATATATTTACTTATTTTTACGTATTTATCATACCAAGCTATTTTTTTAAGTGCTTAGGTTTTCCAGAAACGTATTTTTACGAATAATTGCGTATACTTTTTACCAAGAATTTTTTAAATAGTTTTTAGGTTTTTATTTTACTTATTTTTACGTATTATTTCGCTTTTTACTTTACTTAAAAAATTGTGGTTTTTTCCAAAGAGCTTATGAGTTTGATGTTAATCTAAAACTATAGGTATATTTTCGTAAATTTCATAGTGAACACACAATTCAAATTTCTTAAAGGTATCAGCTTTACCGTAATGCGGCATGATTTTAAAAATTGCAATTTAAATGCCCTAAACTTATCATTTAAAAACGTAATAACTGCTGTGGCATGGAAGACCTTACGGTTGAGGTTCATGGCTGCCGAAGGACAAAAAAGATAATCTGTGGCATGTAAGGAGAAAATGTTGTGGCTTATGGCCGCCTGCCATCCCCAGCTCATATAGGTTGTGAATTTTTAAGAAACTGCAGACATTGCAGATTTTATATGAGAAAATTGTATTTTGATGTCAGATCAGATTATGACGCAATTCGTACGCTTTCCTCAAATCCGAGTCTTTAATAAATCCAACATAAATCAGTTATTTACATACAGTGATAACCAGAAAAAAACGGAAGTAGGAAGAAGACGACATTATAGTTATACAAGGTATTAAAATACGGGTACCCTCGTGAATCGACACATGCCGCTCTATAAATAGATGGTCCCTTAAAACGTCAGTCCCTTTAATAATGAAAGAAAAAATGCATTGTGTTCAATTACGGTTTCTCTAAAAAAACGACAATATCTTCCAAATTATTGATCAGATAAAGGTTTATGGGGTAATGTTGTGAATCGGTATCATGGATTTAAATGTATAATACCGGTATGATCACTTTTAATTTAACAGAATACAAGGACCATAGATAAAGATAGATTGCACATAAGACGACATTTTTTATCATGAAAGATATAAATGTACTGAGATGTTTTAAAGAAATTCCTATTATATAGATTAACTAGGTCGGTTGTAAACATTGGCTGTTATGTCATTGAGTACTTGTGGTGTACATGAGTTCTGTAGAGAGAAATTTAGGTTAGTTTAGTCCTTCTCATGTCCTTCTTCAATTCTCGTCAATATGATATATTGCTCAGTGAAATATTGTTGTTCAAATAGTTCCATTTCCGGAGTTATTTTACACTCTATTATGAAATCCATTAAAACACACCAAACCACCCTGCTTTTCATTGAAGTACACTTTGACTTCTAGAAGTATGAGTTCGCGGACTGTACAATTCTTGGTGATTTTGCATACATAAGCTATCTATGTTTATTTATTTATCTATGACAAGGACAGTCCCTTTTTGGTTTTTTCCCCCCCCCCCCCCCCACCTCGAGTATCAACCCATTAAATGAGAAATAAGAATTGATGAAGGATGGATGAGAAAACAAGATTGATGAAAAATGAATGATAAACGAGGGAATTAATAATGGATGGAAGAGTATGTATATAAAGAATGAAAAGGGATAGATGAGTATGTGTGAAGAATGAAAAAGGATAGAAGAGTATGTGTGAAGAATGAAAAGGATAGATGAGTATGTATAGAAGAATGAAATAGAATAGATGAGTATGTGTGAAGAATGAAAACGGATGGATGAGTATGTATAGAAGAATGAAATAGAATAGATGAGTATGTGTGAAGAATGAAAACGGATGGATGAGTATGTATAGAAGAATGAAAAAGGATGGATGAGTATAGTGTGAAGAATGAAAAAGAATAGATGAGTACGTGTGAAGAATGAAAACGGATGGATGAGTATGTGTGAAGAATGAAAACGGATGGATGAGTATGTGTGAAGAATGAAAACGGATAGATGAGTATGTGTGAAGAATGAAAACAGATGGATGAGTATGTGTGAAGAATGAAAACGGATGGATGAGCATGTATAGAAGAATGAAAACGGATGGATAAGTATGTATGAATAATAAAATAAGACGGATGATGAAGTTTGAGAAATGAAAATGTAGGAAATACAATAAATGAGTTTGGTTAATGTTTATTGACTTGTATCCAAGGAGTATAAAATAGAAGGGAGATACAACTGACGCGCGGCCCGCCCTACCATATGATTATACATGCTTTGTAGACGGTACTTCATTTGAATAAAAAATGTAGAATTACCGCGTATTCAATAACCTATTCTGAATATTTCTTATACAAATGGAGAAGTGTCTGCAAAGCATGTATAATCATATGGTAGGGCGGGCCGCGTTATTTGCATCTCCTTTCTATTCCATACTCCTTGCTTGTATACTGTATACTGTTTATATTAAGAGAGTATTTGCACTGAAGGTGAGAAAACTAAAATTAATTGAATGTTTTCTAAAATTATTTATTTAAGAGCTATTCAGACCAACATATTAATTATTTTAATAATAGGAAGAACAAAATAGATTAAATTAATTCTAATATTATATAATGAATGTTACTTAGACCTTATTTTAAAATGGAGTTCACTGTGAGACTGAATGTGTTTGATAAGGAGGTTTTTAAAAGTCTGATTATATTTAGGAAAATGCGTGGAGAAAAATGTTTAAAATCGTCCATATTTCCAAATATTCCTCCTTTCATCGTCAACCTTCCAACAATCAACCAACAAGGTATATTTTCATTACAATATTTACCATCTTTTGACCAACATTACCGATCCATGATTCCCCCATCGAGATATTAGTAATAGAGGGGGCATCTGGAATTTTAGACTTCTTGTTGTACAACCACTGTACACAATGACCCGATCAGAAATTCTACCTGGGGGGATCATAATTCGTAGATCAGTTTTGAAAGTTATTGTTTGAAAGTAAAAGCAAAGAAAACAAGTCCATATGATTTTTGTATAAAAATGAGACATGACAAATAGAGAAAAAAATAAAATCCTTTGTTCAAATTTTTAGAATTTTCTAACTTACACAGGCCCCTTACATTAGGGTCAAAGCGGGGATTTCATACCTACAGCCTCAGGCATACTGCCTAAATGCCTTATTTTACCGTTACCCGACTAAATCTATCTTTAGACCTACTTCCGGTCATTGGATTTCGACATTTTATAAGAAATTTTGCATAGTAGTTGCACAGATGCCTTTGAAGAGAATTTGCACATTTTCAGTTTTCCTTGAATAAAATTTAGTTTTTGAAAATATTGCAAATATTTTTGCATATTTGAATTCAAGGGCTTTTCAAAAATGTATAATTTATTATATTTCGCCCACTTTCTGTTTTGCACATTTTTGATTAATAACATGATATTGCAATAAATATTTGAAATTTTTCAAATTTGCAATTTTTTGCAGATTATCAAAGTAGAGCCCAAAGGCTTTCCAAAAGTGTATCAAATGATATAGGTTTTTTTCCCAATAAGGAAATAGAGTGGGGGGTCCCTAGGACCCCCAGGGCCCCTCCCACCCAGACTATTTCGGGTAAAACAGACCTCAGCCTGAACCAGGGAAGTTAAAAGTTTTCGTAAAAAATTCGCACATTTTAATCTTAAAAGACGATAGATTGTGTACAACTACTTAACTTCGTGAAATTAAAAATTTTACTTAACCGCGGGTTCCATTGACCCATTTTGCCAAAAAAAACATCCCTCGCTGGATGTTTTGTAAACAAGTAGTCTTTACCTTTGGAACACTTGGTAAAGTAAAATTCCCTTAACTTCTCTGAAGAATATGTGTAAATATTTTTTTTTTGTCTTCTTCTCAAAAAGAGCGGAAATAAACAAAACTCATAATTTTGTGATCACAAAATCATGAATATCTTTTAATTTTGTTTGTTTAAATAACAACCAAAAGGGTTGGCTGGCAAGCATTTCATAGCTTGTTATTGGCCAATTCTGTGAATTGAAGTTTTAGTTAGTCCAATTAGATTAATTATATATCCAATATTTGGTTAGGTTCTGACAATCAGCCTTGAAGCCGCCCCTATGTCAGGACGCGATGGCTTTAAAATGGTTAAATTGGAAAACTTGTTAATATTATTTTTAAGGTTACTTTTTAGAAATAGGAAAGAATACAGAGAATGTCCCCGAACCACCAGAACTAAGGAATCAAAACTAAATGCTTTTTGATTTACCCAATTCGAAAAGTATGTTTCTAGTTAAAACTCTGTATATTAAAAATAAGTACAAACAAAATAGTAATAAAAGGAGAATTTCTAAGATGAATTGAAATCTTCACGGCAATGGGACATATTTAAAATTTTAGACGTATATTTACCACGACTGTGGTGATTTCAACGTAGCATGTATCCGCAAGTCACTTTATAGAGAACCCACAATTGAAAAAAAATCAATTAGCAAATAGAAAAATATTGATATCTCATTCATACTGGCTTAGGCAAAGCTTTTATGGGTTGTTAATGGATGGTCATTTGATATAAGGTTTGTAAACCTAACTTGCGTTTTTTTCAAATATTTAGTTCAAATTAGAACGATTGATATGATGGTAGAGTTGAGGGAGAGCTTGTGGAGGATACCCTTGGCTTTCCTGGAGATTGTCAGGATTCATGAACTCAAGACTAAAGTAGGATTTAATTTCATTTAACATAGTTGGTTGTGGAGAAAGGATGAATACCAGAATCAAAGGAATTGAGTCTTTGCCACATACTCTGATTTTCTAATCTTTGGAACCCAATGTCGTAGACCTTAATTAGATATTTTAAACTATGAATTCTGTTAGATCAAAAAATCTAAGCTTGAAATATCAAAGATTTACAGATTGCAAAGATAAATGGATTAGAAAATTTTAGTTTGTGGCAAAGACTGTATTTCTTTGAAATCGATTCTGCACCATCTTTATTTCGGTAATTTGTTTCTGTAAAAAGAATATTGAGATAAACAGTTTCCGAAAGAATAGAGCGAAATATATTCTTTAGATCCTTATCTTCGTAACAAATTTAGATTTTTAAGTTAAAGAAATATATATTGTTCAGGATCGGCCAGTGTTCGGGGCTAACGTAGCAATACCTAAAACATTTACGAAAGATAAGACAAACCATGTAAAAAAATCCTACTCCAAGCCAAAGTCAATGATTACAGGTATTTTCTTTTTTATTTGAAAGATATTTTACTTTAAAAGTTCCCACCCCCTTCCTCTTTAGCTTTAGTTTTCGCTCAATTCTTATCTTTTAAGTTCAACAGTTTAGACTCTAATTGATTTTAAATCAATTTTCTTTGATAAATATTTACGACATTATTATTTTGGTTCCCAGTTTTAAAGTTTTTGATGAGAAAACGAAACTGGACTTTTTTAATCCCTATATCTTTGCGACCTGATGGGGAAAACATTTGAATTTCAAAAATGTACTATTTGATCTAAAAAAATTCTTAGCTTGAAATATCAAAGGTCTACGACATCGGTTTGCAAAGATAAAGGGATTAAAATTCTTTTTTATATTTAAGTGGGGCCACTTCGAGATCATCAAATCATATAATACTCTTGTTTTTACAGATGAAAAAGTTTTGATGGTGAGGTCAGAAGTTCCCCGAGTTCCCAAAGTTCCCGGATTTTTCCGACAAAACACTAAGGATCAATCCTCCTTCTCAGACGATCATGGAGGTGTAAACAAGATATAAATACGACGATAAGTAGAACACGGACAGCCGTAGTACATTTGAATTTCCAAGCCGGGTCAATTTTTCCGGTCCAGTTTGTACTGCATCGCCCGGACATTGGGTAAATAAAGCAGACACTCAATAGTAATAGCCGGTGCAACAAGGTTGACGCGGTCAGACTTTAGGTTAAATTTACTTTTACTAAAGGGTCAGAGGTGTGTGAGAAAAGCAAATTCAGAGAGTATCTTTACTATATAAAAAATTCCTCTAGTCTTGATGCATTCAAACACTAAAGTAGTTCAATATCCCAACTGAATGTGTTTTGGGAGATGAAATGATAAAGTTTTTAAAAAAATCGTGGAATAAAAACTCGAATTTAATTTATTATTTTTAAATGTATTATGTAGAAAGGAATTAGTGTTTGCCACAAACTCAGATATTCTAATCCTTATAAATTTGCAACCCCAACTTTGATATTTCAAACTATGAATTCTGTTAGATAAAATAATATAAGTTTGAAATATCCAAGGTTTACACTATCAGGTTGTAAAGATATAAGAACTAGAAAATTTGAATTTGTGGCAAAGTCTCAATTTCTTTGTAGGTGTAAAAGTATCACCGTTCCCAGCCTGTACACAGATATCAAGGAAGGATAATCTGTGGGTGCATTTTAAGGTATTTTTATGTACAAACTACTAATAATTCAAATACATGTACACTATTTTCATATAATATACACTTCGTTTCATAGATCAGATCAATATCTTTCTGCGTTTATATGTATAGAATGTAAATATCTTTTATGAATTTATAAACCATCAAACTTGTTTTATTTTCAAGCAAAAACATTATTCAATAAATTCATCTGTTAGTCCATCTTCATTCTGCACTTACTTTACCATCAAGCTCTCTTTATAATCCAATCACGATAGGGGGGGGGGGGGGAGGATGTTTTCCACCCCCAACTGTGTTTTTTAAATAACTCAAAAACGGCTTACAATTAGAACGCTAAAACTTCTTCACTTTTATTTTAGATGATGCAGGATAAATATGGAACTAAAGAATTCAACTTTCTTTCTGATTCTTACAATCTTCCAGGACACAGGTAGAGCAGTTCAGAGCCCGAAACTTAAAACAGAGCTTCGTACTAAACCCATTATCGGAAACCCGGTTTTATAAATGGGGTGAGGTAGTTTTGTAGATACCAATATTTTTGTTTCTTAAAAGTTTCTTTTTGTTTTTTGATTTCTCAAATTAAAATCTACGCAAATGTGTAAACCCCAATAAGGAAACTCAGGAGTTTCGTTCAACGAATCTCTCTTAAATTTCCGACACAGTACATTGTATAGGTACAGCAGTGTGGTTTATTGTAGTTACAGCTGTGCAGTATGTTAGGCACTAGAGTACAGTATATTATTCAGGTACGGCAATGCAGTACATTATACAGGTACTCCAGTGCAGTACATTGTGCAGGTACACCAGTGCATTACATTGTACTCACACCACAGTACAGTACATTGTATAGGTACTTGAGTACAATTAATTGTACAGGTACAACAGTGTGGTTTATTGTAGTTACAGCTGTGCAGTATGTTAGGCACTAGAGTACAGTATATCATTCAGGTACGGCAATGCAGTACATTATACAGGTACTGCAGTGCAGTACATTGTGCAGGTACACCAGTGCATTACATTGTACTCACACCACAGTACAGTACATTGTATAGGTACTTGAGTACAGTTAATTGTACAGGTACAGCAGTGTGGTTTATTGTAGTTACAGCTGTGCAGTATGTTAGGCACTAGAGTACAGTATATTATTAAGGTACGGCAATGCAGTACATTATACAGGTACTGCAGTGCAGTACATTGTGCAGGTACATCAGTGCATTATATTGTACTCACACCACAGTACAGTACATTGTATAGGTACTTGAGTACAGTTAACTGTACAGGTACAGCAGTGCAGTTTAAAGAGTTGTATAGAGTTGAACCTAGAGAGAAGAATGGGGCGGGAGCCTGGATCTGATTAAACCTATTTGTATAGAGTTGAACTAGAGAGAAGAATGGGGCGGGAGCCTGGATCTGATTAAACCTATTTGTATAGAGTTGAACTAGAGAGAAGAATGGGGCGGGAGCCTGGGTCTGATTAAATCTATTTGTATAGAGTTGAACTAGAGAGAAGGATGGGGCTGGAGCCTGGATCTGATTAAACCTATTTGTATAGAGTTGAACTAGAGAGAAGGATGGGGCGGGAGCCTGGATCTCATTAAACCTATTTGTATAGAGTTGAAATAGAGAGAAGGATGGGGCTGGAGCCTGGATCTCTCTGGATTATTAAACCGCTGGGAAGAAACAACGGAACAGGAATCAGGTTAAAATAAGAAATATAACTATTCAAAACTACACCTTTTTATACCTTTTTATACCTTATAAATATTTGGTTAATCGGTTTTTTCAGAAAAAAAATATATTAAAATTTTTTTTAAGAGAGTAAGAATTTAAAAAAACTTGCCTCGAACTCTGATTATGCTAATCCTAATATCTGATGTTGGAGAGTTTGATCAAATAGTTAAAGCTAGAAATATCAAAGGTTTACAACATCAGGTTTATTTTTTGTTTATTTTCTAAAATTACATCCTCCTTGTAACTTGTATTTCTTCTGATAGCTTCTAAATATTTTTTGAGTTAAAACCATTGACGAGAGCAATTTTATTCGATAAAAATGAGTTGCAATTTGATCATTACCTCTGAACTTTGAACTTAAGATGGCCACAGCTAATAACTTTATTCTCCTGTTCCCTTTTCCAAAACCAGGAGCATTCTCTTTAAAACTCCCTTTGTCTAGGGTGATAAATAGTCTAGTCGATTTACCTGGCTATGATGAGGAGGTGTGTGTACAACGGTACATAGAGAATCCATATCTGATTCATAACAAGAAGTTCGATCTCAGGTGTGTACAATGTTTTGTATAGTCCTGACAACAGAAAAATGAGTCTCCATGCAATGGTATACCCGTAAAAGCTTTGTTTGATTAAGTATAAATTAGATATTCATGTATTGTTTGATTTTTTAAAAACTGTTTATTCTAATTTGCTGTTTCTCTTCAAAAGTGACTTGCGCATTTCTTACTCACAAGAAACAATGGAGAAATTATCCGAAATAAACACTCTTCGAGTCAGATTAAAGGATCAATGGTACTGTTGTAATCGGGCATTGCCATCCTTGCATGGAGGGTTACTTAAACATTACTTTAAGCAGTGCATAGGATCCGGATCCACTGGATCCGCAAATTTCACGAATCCAGACAAATATGCGGATCCACTCAGGTGGCAAAATGTCAACCCACACTTCAGAAAAAAATTTGCCAGCTCAAAACACACATTTCTAACCGGATCCGAGTCTAGTTTTTACAGGAAAGATCTGGTTTCAGATCTGCATCAAAATAAAATTGATCCTAAGCACTGCATTTTAATAATGCTAGATTATTTTAGTATCAAAGGCACTTCTTTTGAAATATTTTCTAAAAAGATATTTCTTTAGATATAAATTATACATAAATGAAATATCATAATATTGTGTAAACCTATGCCTGTATCGTGTACTGAACAGCATCGAAGGAAAGCGCGTCAAGATTTTTCACGCACGGCTCTATGAGAGAAACGAGAAAGTGTGGAATTCTTTCTACTTGAGAACCAAATTATCAGAACTCAGACTTGCAACATTCTATTTCTAGCAAGTATAGATAAAGTCAATTTTCTCAAACCCTCCTAAAGAGCCATGTCAAGTAAAAGACCAAATTGGATTTTGAGTTTCAGACAGTAATATTACTATGAAACCCACCTAATAGGTAGCTTTCAAACAATAACACTCAGCTCAATAGAAAGTAAAACGGGAAAATATCGGTACTTACACACCGCGTAACATTCTTACATTGGTTGTAATTAGGGTGCGGAAACGTCATGTATGTGTGTCTGTACCAAAAGAGTGTGTGCAAGTAAAATCGACCACCGAAGGCGTGTACTGTACAATTAAGTCAACACTATAAGCCAAATTTTCATGCAAAGAATATAATTTGATTAAAGTTTACAATAAACTAGTCATTATTCAAGCTTAATTATAATTGACGACATTGTTCTGTAATTTTCTTGAGTGTAGTCATGTTGTGTGTCTGTACCAAAAGAGTGTGCGTGTGTGACAACGAACTCGTCTGCAAAGCAGTGTGACTGGCTTTCTCCTGCCGGACCAGCGCCATTTTACTTCCCTTTATTCTTATTCTTCCCTTAACTCGGATTACAAACAGGGGCGGATATAAGGATTCTGTAGGGGGGGGTAAAAAATTTTAATTTGGCGCGCGAAGCGCGCCGGAATTTTTTTTACCCCCCCCTAGAAATTTTTTTACCCCCCCCTAGAAAAATATCATGATGTATATCAAATTATTGGTTTTAATTGGGTTTGATTTGCATTTTCCACTCATTTCTGGGATTTACAAACTCAATCTAATAAAGGCTTCATTACATACCTTTCAGCTTCCACCTTCTTTTATACCCTTCATTATAGTCATTCATTTTACATTAACTACAAAGATCTGTAAAAAACTGAATTTATTTTATTTTAACTAAACTTTTTATATTAAGTTTGCTGGCAAATATTGACAAAAAAGGCAGTAATATAAAAAATAATAGTTTTACTCTAAGAGGAAAAAAATGTTAC